ATAACAAATAAAATAAATAACCTATAAAAATGTGTTGCTCAATAAAACCAGAATGTTACGAACACAACTTTCACACGTATGTAGTTTGTTTAAAGCGAAAATATTAATATATGTGTTTTATGCCCTTACAACCTCCTTAAATTGCTTGTCAATTAAATTCGCGATTACTAGAGTAGTTTTAATTGCGTTTATAGTCCGGAGAAATAATTCGGCGCGCATTTTGAAAACACTACAATATAGTATATATGCAAGTACATATTATAGTGTATATTAGTAATTCAAGATTTAATTATTTAAAGCAATGAAGATCCAGCTTCGACTGTAATAGGCATTTTTCTGGTATTGATTGTGTTCTCACATATCTGGTCTAAAATAAAGATTCTTAATATTGTTTTATACATATGCGCGCGCGCGCGTGCACGGATTTATATCCCCGATATTTATAACAGAAAAAAACGAAGTAACCGTAAATGGCTCTCGTCACATTGTAATATATTTGTCTGAGGAATGATGACTTCTGTCGTAACCGTCGTTATCTCGTTTTTCGGTGGAAAAAAGCTATGAGATATGCTTTTTTTTCAGGAGCTTTCTCGCTTTGTACACAACGCATGTAAATCCGACACAGGGGAGGAAGGAAATCGAGTTATTTTTCGACGACTCGGAAAGAATTACGACGCTGTGCTTCTGTGCCAAACGTAAAAAAATCGGCTTTTTTCTAAAGAGCTGCTAAAATAATTTTTTAATAATCGACGTACATTGTTCAATTTTTTACTTACTTATGTATATTATGATTATTATATAGTTTAATTGTTGTCTCACTTTCACTTGTCATCTAAAATATTTCTTATTTTAGGTTAAAAAAAACTTCATTTCTTTACGTGTAAGAATTGACGAAGAGACCAAGTAAAAATTGAAAACGTTATTTTTTTTAATTAATGAAAAACTTTTACACACACACATTACATCTAGTGTTGCTCCTTTCTGGCCGTTTTCAATTTTGCTTTGTAAAAGAGGAACCGATATATGTATGTATATATGTATATATATATATCTTTTCAAAAGTTTAGAGATATTATATTGCTGTATAAAATGTACAATAAATTAAATTATTAAATTTACATGCTAAAGATTTTGATAAGAAGAGCTAAATAACTTAATAATATAACTTCCCTAAAAGGAAATAACATTGGCGTTTGTTATAAAAATATTGAATGAGAGTTCAAAAAAAAAATATCCTTTCGCCATTAACCGAAGAAGTCGCGATTGACAGGAAAACTACCATTTCCGTTGCGGAGAGATTTCCTACGAGCGAACCAAGTCACGGAGAAACCGAAGGAGAGGAGACGTATCTCTTCCTCCTTCACCTTCTCCTTGCGAAGAAAATGGATGATCGCGACTCGAATAGATATCGAGGCGATCAAATCCGGGACGCCGCCGACGCGCGCACGTTCATCAATAAGATCAGAATCGCATACTGTACGATCATTCCGTATACCCGATTTACGCGCGTATTTCGCTGCGTGGCGGCATTTTGCCGCCATAGTCATTTGTCCGTCACATCGGCCGACCGGACGGACGGACGGCGGCCGTCGACATAAAACCGGAAGCGAATTATGTACTCCGATATAAATCAGCTGGACACACCCCATTCGCGTCGCGGACAGGTTATTATCGGTGGTGCCATTTTAACTCTCCCCGTTCATCCTCCCCTCGTCGTGTGCATGACCGACCCACTTTTTCCGCATATGATGTAGTTTATGGATGCCTGCGAGATCGGACAAAAATCCCAGGGCATAAGGGCATACAGGGATTAAAAGGGCACACATACATATCATACGAGCGCATATATATGTGCCGTTTTTTTTACACACGCGAGAAAAAGCTGTGAACGAGTTGATATTAACGTATTCGCGACAATATTTGTTCATCGGCTACTGATTGTCGAGTTTTCCTGAAATATCTTATATGGATCAATATTAAAATGACGATTATAAAACTTTTTGCTCCGATATCTGCCTCCGTAGTTGCAAAGTTCTAGGACACTTGTACGTTTATATATTATATATTTATACATTTATACCAAGTATGGACACGAATAATTTTCCCATTAAAGTTGTGTAAAAGCAATTAAGAGTAAGTGAGAATAATTAAAGCATTTTTTGTATTTTTAATCTTTTTAAAATTAATTTTTACATTCGGCGAAATTGATTTATCGCAGAAGAAAAATTGCACAAAATTTCGGTTTAAATTTTCATATTATCTTCCGTAAACTCTCGCTTCCGGTAAATGCTAATACCATTTCCGCGAGTCATTATCATGCAAATGCCGGTTTCACAAATGCCTCGGGAACATACTTTACTCTCCGCGTATTATATTCCATATTGGCTATACGTGAAGTCCTAAATCAATAAAAAGCAAAGTGATCAAAGTAATACGCGTATAATAAGCTTTCTAAGTATTATTAAAGCATTACTATATAACTAGCGATACATTTATTTAATATATTATAACGGTATGAAAAAATTACGCAATTATATACTGTTGCTACAGAAAGAACGATTTTGCTAAAGAATCTAAAAATTTAGTTCCACTGGAGAAAGAGTCTCGCTGCATTAATTGGAATTCTAATTGAAAATGGACAAATCAGAATCTTCTGGTTAAATTTAATATAATTTTAGTTAAGACACCAGATCTGATTAATATAATTAAAAATTCTTCTGGTTCGTTCATTCTTAATAAGAAATTTTTTTTAGTGTATAGATACAGATCTGAAAATGATTTTGTTAGACTATCAAAATAATTATGTAAGACGTTTAAAGTGGTTGCTGGAATATCAAAACTTTTTACAGCATTACGTTTGAGCGTCCTACATAATTATTTTGATAATTCAATAAAATTATTGTTAGATCTGTATTATTGTTAGATCTAAATTTGTACATACTTTGGCATAATTGTTTTTTCTATGTACAAGTACTTGCAATTACAATTATTTGATATATAATAAACAATTATTGCATCATTGATCTCTAAATATAGCCCACTGTCACAATTGATTTGATCAATTCCGTCTAGATTCTTTTTGATCTGAAGATAGTGCTCGCGTAAAATTTCCTAAAATAATCTCGACGCTTACTCTGTAATCCTAGGACTATCGTCCACGTAGAATAGACGAGGGAAAATAAAATGCGAGAGCGGTTTATTATCCGGAAGCTAGCCTATCCAACATCGATGGACCTTCCTGCAGCCCTGATCCTAACACCAATATTGATTCGATTAACCTTTCTTGGCCTCGGGGGTACGGACCGAGAGGTTTGTCTGTTACCGACAGCTAGTGGGTGTATCTCGAAGTGCTCTGACACTCGATAAGTCCCAGATGAGAGCTCGTAAGGGACAAAATGTTACCACGTTATCTACTACATTATGATGTCGAACGAGACCACTGCGACTACATCAGTTCTTTTGCTGATAATATCTTTATTTTTATATATATACTATTCTTACGTTTATCATCATATTGTATATTTTTGTATTTCTCATAATTTTTAAGTGTCGCACGTGTCTTCATCAACTAAATTAATAACCCTTTAAACATATTTGTTTATCCGACAGGCTAAATAACATGAAACCGACATCACATGTCGGTTTCATGTCATTTAGTCTGTCAGATAAACAAATATGTTTAAGGGATTATTAATTTAGTTGATGAGGACACGTGTAACATTTACTTTGCGAAAGTTTTACTACTTTGAAAGAATATCCACAAATATCTGTTAACTTAGTGGGTAAACACGGTATATGTATAACTATCTATTTGTTCTTTCCAATAAAAAGATTTTATAAACACAGAAAAATTCTCGGCAAATTTACCATAACCATTATATTCACAGTGACATATGAAATTTGCAAAACACCGCATCGCAGCGTTATTTTTTTCAGATTAAATTCAGCGTGAAACGCTGATCTTTCGCGCGATATTAATTTAATAATAGAACTCACAAAGATATTTAACTTTTAAATGCTGCGCTTCAATTTGCATATTTCCAAGTTTACATGGGAAATAACACTTTAAGTATAATGGATACAACAAACATGCCGAGTGAACGTAGTTGTTCGCAAAGTCGCAGCTATAATCTTTAATAAACGCTACACCTGTTCCATCCTAATTCGCCATTAAAAAATTTTACGTATGGAATACGTAATGCACCTATTAAATTGATTCCACGATGTCACATCGATCCATCACACCGATCGAGTTGGCGTTATCCGGTATACGTACCATGATCGGTTGCGGTGGCTAATAGTAATCGCTGGTGCGGTTATACCGGTTACGCGAGATTAGAATTTTTCAGTTTTGCATCACGCAGAACGTCGTGTACGAGTTGCACCGTTATTAGCACGCACTTCACTTAACGGTCTATAGATTGATGCCATGATCGATGTATGATTGATAACGTTGATGCATTTAATATTTTTACCTTTACTTCCCCCAGGGCACTAAACCGAGCGATAAATAACTACGGCGA